ACTGTTTCGGATCCCACGGAAGAACTCTCAATTATTTTCGCGACCGTTTACGTACTGCGAAGCGATACGTCACGTGATTAGTGTCGAATCATGACAGGTCGAATCATGACCGTCGAATCATGTCTGAAAATCCGGGTGTATACATAGCAATGAAATCAGCTGTAAAAGTGCTTTATAGCACGTAATGTATTATAGCTTCTGAAATGATCAATAATAATAATATTAATGTTTGGGGGAAATTCAAAGTGCCAGATTAATCGTATATATATTGATTTATGTCATCAGTATGGAATTTCTGTTGTTTTGGCCCAGATGTGTCCTGTAAAACTTCCCCAGCAGCAAGAAGTGAGGAGAGACAGCTATATTCATAAGCCGTGAATCAGTCAGCGTGCACTATTAACTTACAGTCTCATTTGGCAGGAAAGCTCAGCACTACAGAACCTAGAGTGACACTTGGCTGACTCTTACATACAGTGTATACATGTACTCGTTGCTGTTAATTTTTTATCTGAAGTAATTTTATTTTTCTCTTATTTTTGGGTATGGTAATGTATGCTAATGAAGTTGAAACAAAGGAAAAATAAAAACTACCTGAGATAAGGGGCTAAGATAGGGCTAGTAAATTCTGTTCTTAACTTGCCAGACGGGCAAGTGAAGTTTTATTGAGGAATTCAAATTAGAGAAGAACTGTGAAAATCAATCTGCTTGTCAAAATGTTTTTGGGGCTAGTTGAAATGATGTTTGGCTAGTAAATGTTAGCTTCAGCTTGCCTGAATGACAAGCTCTAAAAAGGGCTTTCTTTGCACCCTGGGACTACTGGTGATCAAATGAATTACCTGCATAATGCTCAAACCATGTTCTACATCTTTTCACTGAAAATGGTTTCCCTAACTCATCTGATAGTGATTGAGACTTGATGCTACAATAAACCAAAGAGAATGGCGGAAATTAATATCCCCTCCTAACCCTCTTGGAACATACAATGTACAGCTGCTGTAGACCTTATCATGATACCCGCCATCTTTTAAATTTTTTTTAATTTGCTCGCACTTAAGGACTGATGGGTAAAAGCGACGTCACATGGTTTTTCAGTGGGCAAATCGCGATAAAATCTACAGATAAAAGAAATCATGGTCGAGTTTATTTATTCTAGGCAATGGAAAAAGTAGAACTTTTTATCTTACAATTGTTAATGGAAAATTATGGGTCAAAGAGATCACTTTTCCATTTTTGGATAGGGTAGCAACCATGCATAGATGTCCTCACAGTAAGTGCTAATAATGTAAAACAAAATCCATGCTCGAATTGTACATTTAGCATGACAAAAATTGTCGTTAAGTCCTGAGAGAATGAACAATCTTGACCATGATTACTTGTACATGTATGAGCAAACTTTATCACTTGTTTGGCCACCGAAATATCATGCAACATTGCTTTGATTCCATCAATCTGTGCCATGCAAGCAAAGATGGCGGTTACTGTGAATAAGGTGTATTGACTCACATGACCAGTATGTAGTTAGCCAAATTCATTGAAACAAAAGAAACTGTTAATGTAAGAAACGAGTACAACTCCCACAGGAAGAATGGAAGGGGTATCTGAAATAAAACCCTAAGCAACTTCTGATAAACTACTAAATTCTCCTGATAATTTGCCTTGTACATGACTGTAAATTAACGGGAGAATCTAGCAATAATATTAGGAGTCACTTATGGTCCTATTCACATTTTGCTGATCACTTTCCTTATTCCGATAGCCTTTATGTTTGATTAATGATAAAATAAACAAGGACAAGATTATTATGAACTATTTTTAGGGGTAAAACAAACTTAACAGATCACCTTCTTGGGGCTCTCAGATTATAAAAATAAAAAACAAAACAAGAACTTCTCACACTCCTTGATCACTTGCCACATTTATGTGAATCTCATTATCTTGTTAAAGAGATTGAGTCTTAGCAAAACTCAACAATAAAATAAAGCAAAGTAAAAACCAAGCTTTTAGAGAAAGGTTTTACAGTTGTATGCACCTTGTTAAGCACTCATCTTTCTGTTTTTTCAGCTTGGTTTCTTCTCGTGTAGCAGCTTTTCTTTTTCTCCTGGGAGGCATTTCCTTCGAATTATCTGATTCTGAACTGGAGCTGTTAACTATTGAAGGAGAACATAAAAGCAAAGTGTGGTCAAACTGAAAGGCAGGAGAAGTCTCTATACATATGCATATCTATGCATAATTTATGAAAGACAAAGGACAAATTCCCTTGAGAACATCAATAATTAGTGGTCTGAATAGTGCTTTTTACCGATACCGTGGCCATATTGAATTAATTCGATTGAAGGAGTATTATGGGATGCCCAGGGGGGCATGAGCACATTTTGTTTGTATTTTCGGGCACTTTTCAGGGCATTTTTTCTTAAAGTTTTCTTAGAATAAGATTGTAATGGGAAAAAGATCCTTGTGTCATGTTTGGATGTAATAATGATCGTCTTTTTCTAGTTTAGTATTAAAAATATGGTCTTTCACTGTATATTTCTCAGGGAAAAGGTAATCATTAACGGCACAAGGATCTTTCTTCCCATTACAATCTTATTCTAAGAAAACTTTACGAAAAAATGTCCCAAAAAGTGCTTGAAAATACAAACGAAATGTGCTCATGCCCCCTGGGTATCCTATAATACTCCTTAAATCGAATTAATTCAATATGGCCGCCATATTGGTAAAAAGGTCTATTGGGAAAACAAAACATACTTGGGTCTATTATTCAATTGACAAGTAAGTAAACAGTCATCACTTTCTGTAATCAAACTCCAATTGTTTGATTGACTTCGATTGAGTTCATTAAGCAAACATAATCGAACTCACCCAAAACACTTTAACACTCGAACATAATCGAATGTTTGAAAACAAAGCTTCTACAATCATATGTAAAAACACTTATGTCTGGTCTCAAACAAGGCATTACAGTTAAAAAATAAGTTATGAGTTAGCTTCAATTTCAAACACGAGTACACAAGCAAGATGTAGAATAGAGAGTGGAAAATGTGAAACCCAGTGTGACACTGACAATATCAACTGATGGTTCTTTTGCAGTCGGTGTCAAGAAAAAGGGGAGATACTTTGCAGTGTAGGAGTCCAGCTCTTAAGGTAACCGATGATGATGGCTGCTGCTAGCTTGGACTTTGCAACATGAACTAGTGGCTGTGCATTGGCCATTGACCATCAAAGTGTTAGGCCCGGTTCAGACGCCGAACTTTTCATGAGCCAAACCTAATACATTGAATTAAGTACATGAAAAGTTTGGTGTCTGAATCAATTAGGATCGCCTGTTTCAATTTGGAACAGCTCAGCCATTATTTTCAACTAGCCCAGCCGGGATTTTTGCCTTTGGAGCAACTTTGGAACAGCTTTGATTCAGACGCCGAACTTTTCATGTACCGAACCTATTGATTTTGAATATTATCATTTTACTTTCAACTGAAAGAAGTTTATGTTTTCACACCTGCCTCACATACACACATGTGTAAGAGAAAAATCTTTTCAATTCATTTAAAACCAAATGCTTACTGATTTTTTGTATCATTTTGTCTTTCAGCCAAACAAAATCAAACACATCGCATTGATTAAATTCGATTGACTTTGGTAATCAAACTCACAAGTTCGATTAACATAAGTCACCTCAAAGTTCCAGTTGGATTATGTTCGATTACCAAGCCAATCAAACAACAATCGACTGACTGGGTTTAATTGAGTTCGACTGATTTTTGGTTCAGTTTTGTTCAATTGACTAGGCCGTGATTTACATCTTCAATAGAGGTAGGTCAAAAAAATGAACCAGTTATGAAAGGATGCCACCTGAAGGACCTATGCCTCTAGCTTTTATCTCTTCATTTATAGAAGTAAGCTTTTTCATATAAAATATACTTAAACCTACATTTTTGAACACTTCTTCCTCATCATGGGCTTAAAACAACGATGCGATGAAGTCAGTCATAGCAAAAATATAAGATGCTGCGTATTAGCTTGATGATAGACTATATAGTATTACTTACACTGCACGTGTAGATATACATGTATATTTCAGCAAAGAAAAAAAACGTAGATTAATAGACATACATTTAAAATCAGCTACCACTGCAATTCAGCAATCTGGTGAATAATCAAAATGGACTGTGGTGGAATTGCAAACATTTCCGCGAGGCACGTACGTGCAGTACAATCAAAAGTAGTTGCATGTGATAGGTAATAAAGAACCTTGGAACAATAGGCTCACTTCTACTGTTATCTCCGACGAAAGCAAGAAAACCTTTAGAAGTAGGCTTCAATGTGGGTTTAAGCGAAGAAATTTTTGTACGAATTTTGCTACGTAGTTTAACAACTTACGCGGAAAATCTCGGCAAATAAGGTCAACGTAAAAAACAACCCTGTGCCCTGCAGAACATGGCCATTGTGTCAAGTGTGGTTCTTGTGATGTTCAGTCCACATTCATGAACATAGCAGTATTTAAACGAATTTTAAACACAGCAAAACTTTAAAATGTTTAAAAATGATTTAAATACCTTGAACAGGACATAGAAAAGCTCCAATATGCCCTAGCTAAGTAGGGGCCTCATTCAACATTCACGGTCAACTTCTCCCGGTAGACTATGTAACCACGCGTAAATGTTTGTGCACGTGCTAAAGCCTCGGCATCGTGTAATTTGCTGTTTTGCGAAAACGTTCGGTTTAATTTGTTTGCCCAGACAAACGGGCAAACAAACAAACAAAATCTATTTCGTAAGGCTTCGTTTCACGTTATTTTCAAGCTCAAAATCTAGGAAAACCAAAAGCAGAAAGCCCAACTTGTCCTTAGTCTGATAATTTTATTTATTTATTTATTATTTTTTATTAGCTATCTTTATATTTTTATTCTTTTAACTCTTCTTGATGCGTAATGGCGTTGAAGAGTATTAAAGTAGATGTGAAATAAAATTTGTTGTTTTGTTTTTGGTATTTTCATATTACCCCAGGCTTGCGATCTTTCGGGTAGCAATCCAACGGGCATGGGAGGAGGAGGGGTGGGCCACTCACTACTTTAAAAACAGCATAAGAAAACCTTGCCAATTAAATTTTTACCATTTACAAGCAAAATTTTCCTTGTCGCCTACATATATACGTACCTTCAACTGAGCTTTCCACCCTAACCGATATTTCTTCGACGTCTTTTCTGATCTCCGACGATGAACAAAGCTTATCGTCGGTTTCTTCATCGGATTCTTTCATTAATTTCCGGTCGATTCGGCGGACAATGAAAGCATATAGCTTAGTCTCGCTGAAAAATGTCAAAGCACCAAGGAAGAAATAACACATCAGATTGATGTGTCCACATACCTAGAAATCTCACCGTGATCGTTTGCTAGAGATTTCACAAAAGAATTGGTTTGACGTAATAATTAAATTTTATTTGCGTCATCAATCCACAGTCAATAGAGCTTGAATTGGCAAAAAAGAAGATTTTGTGTACCACGCTTCTTAGTTTTCAGGCAAAACAACAACAACAAAAAACAGGGGCATCCAACGTCAATTTTCGGAAAATATCTGTTCGGAAGACGATTTGAGATCTAGAATTTTAGGAACATTTGTTGTAAAATTTATTAATTGCCCATTTTCAACGGATTTTTACGTTAAAAAGGTCATCTAGAATTTTCGGGAGCCTTTTTTCTGGCTGAAATTTTCGAAAAGGTAAGTTTTGATCCCTATTATTTTTAGCCTGCATGGTAGGCGTTGAAAAGGGAAGGGGAAGGGAATTAGGGCGCCAGACCACGCGCGCGCGCCCAAATTCCCCCTTCCCCTTGTCCTTTTAACGCCTGCCACACAGGCTATATAATTTTCGGATAACAGCTAGGAAATCCAAACAGATGAAAAATTTTTAGGGGGTAAAAATATGCCTGTATCTACCGTTTAAATACTAAAATACGTTTAACAATGCTATGTTTTGAACTATTCGTTGGGTGCAAAAAAAAAACACCTCAAACAAACAATACCAATAATATGGCAAAACTAGCCGACAAAACGAAAAATCCTGCACTAACTATCATGATTCAGTCATACCCCCAATATATTCTAGAACGGAAATGTCATAAGCTATAATTTAAGAATAATACAAGAATATTTTCAGCCTAAAATCGGCGGTCCAGCGGAAAAAGAACATTCAGCCTAGATCGAAAAAACAACGTTCTTTTGAAAAAAAAGAGTGTGTGCGTCTTTCATGGCATCAGCTGTTTCGCTGGTTCCTGAGTGGCTGAACGCCCTCGTGCCAGGAAAATGTGCTTTACTCTCGCCTGGAAGACAAGAGAAAAGCAAAACAAAAAGGACTTTTTGATTAGCTCCAAAGCACATGAAGAAAAAATAGAAAGAGTCTCCTGACTCGAGGAAGTGTCAGTGAAGTTTGTTAGCCTGCGGTCTCAGTCACGATGTCAGCGACACATTTAAAATATTATGGGCTGTTCGCGCCAACTGGTTCAAAGTGATTCGATATTGAAAGAGAGAACAAAACAGCACCTGATATCTCAAGCTTAAACTATTGAGTCAAATAATCGGTATTTTCGTGATAACCGAGGAGTAGTAGCCGAAGGTTTACAAAGACAATCTCCAGCGAGGTATTTTGGGACGATTTTGACGTGGATCGAGTTGGTAGTGAAGCTTGCAAGGTGCTGTTTCAGGTGAAATGCCTCGAGGCGAATCGGGCTCTTCTCCGAGAAAGAGAGCGGCTGCCACCGAGCTTCATGAGAGACTGAGCAAAGACGAGCTTATTAAGCGTTTAAAGGTGAGAACAGATAGGTTTATGAATATCAAATAATGCAGAAAACTGCACTTGCGATTCACTGGTTGAGTTTGTGTCAGAGAGTGCCGGGTTTTCTATTTTGTTTTCCTTAAACTGTGCTTTAATAGCTAAGTGACTTCATGCCGTACAATGATGACCAAGTACAGAATTAATCGCACCTGTCGTGGAGTGGATTATCGACGAAATGATAGCATACGGAATCTTTTATTCAAATAATTCTTGGCCTGCACTATTAACATTGAAATTGGTTATATATTGGGCTTCTTGGTATGAAATCTCCTGAAATATATTCAAGCCTTAAACACTTGACAGGAAAAAGGCTCTGAGGCTTGAATTTATAGGCTTTACGGCAAATAACCTATTTATTATTCCTGGCCAGGAATAAAAGGTTTTTAATTTCTTTTTATGTGGTCATTTAATCAGGGCTGTCATTAAGAATTCCAGTAGCAGGAGAAAGGTGTAATGTTTCAGGAGAATACCGTAAAATTCCGAAAATAAGCCCCTCCATGTACAAACCCCTCCAAATATAAGCCCCCCAAACCGGTAACACAAAAAACCCTCTGTTAAATCGCCCCTCCAAATATAAGCCCCCCATGAGCTTGTACTTGGAAAATTGCCCTCAAATACCAAGTAAAACAAAGCAAAAACAGTAAAAATTTACTTTCAACTACAAGGCTAGCCCAATCGAGTTTGAAACGCAAATTTCCCTCCGTAGATAAGCCCCTCCGAATATGAGCCCCTCCAAAAATAAGCCCCTCAAAAAGGGTCTTTGAAAAATATAAGCCCCGGGGCTTATTTTCGGAATTTTACGGTATTTTGAAAGTGGCTCCACGACTGAATAAAAAATAATCAGAGGCTACCAAACGTTAGCTGGAGAATTCTGCAGAGTAAACGGAGAATTCTCTGATCTCCGATGCCTAATGAACACCTGCATTTTTCTTTTATCGTATGATTTGGTCAGTTTAAAACACAGACTGCAGACTACGGACTGTGGACTGGGTATAAAACACAGACTACGTAGGTAAAACATGCGGACTATGGACTGTCTATATAACTACAACTTTAGAAAGGTATGCCTTAGAGAAAAGGATAGTGGACTGGCATAAAACAGATAGTCCCAGCTCCTTGCCTCACGCACAAACATTCCTTTGGCTGGTCATGCAGTCTATTCTCCTCAATGTTAGCGGGAGAAGGAAAGCATACTACACTGGCAAGGAAGGTTAATGCCGCTACTCAAGGAAACTGAAAATGAAACTCTGAATTTTTTAAAAAGGAGGAGTTAGCAGAGAATTCATTTTATAAGTTTTAAACCAATAGAAGATATGAAATTGAGAGGCACCAAATAAATAGTATTGGTGTTAGTGAGAGCGATATTCTTATAGGTGCCACAATTCCATTTCAAAGCCTTGGGATATGAGGAAATTAAGAACCCAGACAAGAGGGTCAGTATAGAGATATTCTGTGATGCAAAAAAGCTGTATTTAGGGGGAAGGGTTACTCACCTATACGTGAATAATAACCAAAATATATCATCCAACATAATAAATAGTATTGGTGTTAGTGAGAGTGAAATTCTTATAGGTGCCACAATTTCATTTCAAAGCCTTGGGATATGAGGAAATTAAGAACCCAGACAAGAGGGTCAGTATAGAGATATTCTGTGATGCAAAAAAGCTGTATTTAGGGGCAAGGGTTACTCACCTGTACGTGAATAATAACCAAAATATATCATCCAACATAATAAATAGTATTGGTGTTAGTGAGAGTGAAATTCTTATAGGTGCCACAAGTCCATTTCAAAGCTTTGGGATATGAGGAAATTAAGAACCCAGACAAGAGGGTCAATATAGAGGCATTCTGTGATGCAAAAAAGCTGTATTTAGGGGGAAGGGGTTACTCGCCTATACGTGAATAATAACCAAACCATATCATCCAACGATATATATTCAAAGCAATGATGACATGATTTACACCTATGTAAACATGTACATTGCGTTTGTCGTGGATGTTAGAGACTGAGACCAGGGCTAAAAATGGGTGTAGAAAATAGCATTTTGGTCAGGCTCAGGATTTGGAGAACTGGGTGGTACACCTCCACCAAGAATTTCTAGGAGTATAAAAACTACAAGTAACTTAAACTTATGTGTTGTGCTATTACCGATGTAGTCTGTAGTGCGCATCTTATACCTAGTCTGTGTCTTATACCCAGTCCGTGGTCCCCAGTCAGCAGTCCGTGTGTTATTTTGACCATTGTATGTTTCATTAGAAGGCCTTTCAACCCCCCACATCTTTAATATTGTGGGATGATAGATGACATCATAACATGCAGCACGTGATGTCATTGGTGTAAAAAATACTCGTTGACTCTATCATGAATTTGCAACGGCACAAAATGAACAAAAATGATGTTGTTGGCATTATAACATTTTGGCATGATTGGTTTACTTCCCACCAATCACATTATTATATTACAAGGGCAGTGGACTTTACGAGGAAATATTCGTTGTTAACATTAAAATAGCTCAAACAATGCAAAATAGATGAAACTTTATTGCCGGAAAGTCAAGTCTACTGAAGAAATGGCAAACTTTGGCAATATTATTGTGATCTTGGAGGAGTTTGCCTGAAACCTAGCATCCAGAAACTCCATGCTGAATGACGAATGACTCTGAAGTCTATTGATTAGGTTTAGGAAACTGAGTGAATCAGGTTCCATTTAGGTTTTTTGTCATCAGTAATGCATTTTGGGATCGATTCAAGATGGTGGTATAGAAAAATGGTATTGTTTTTGTTTTTAATTTTGGTTCATACACAAGTTGAGTCATAACGAATTGCTGTACTGGTTAAGAATCCGAGTGGAAAAATACTGTATTTGTGTGTTTTGGTCCGTCAGTCTAAATGTGTCACTGGGAAACTATTTCTTGGTTCCGTTATTTTAAGATCATGGTTATGACACGGTACCAGAAATGATCGTTAAATCCTAGGGCTTGTAGGCTGCCATCGTTGTTTATTTTAGACCTTGAATTAGACTCCAGCTAATAAAGGAGGATTGAACTGTATCTACTTATTCATTGAACAGAAGTACAGTTTTGTACTTTGACTTAGTAATAAGTAGCTGTCGTGCATTTTATTTGAATGTTTCATGGTCAAATTAAGATTTGACTACCACTTATTTTCACAGAACCTTGCTCATGAGCTATCGAGTGCTGATCAAACCGATGGAGAACCCAAGTATCATGATGTGGCGCAGTCTCTTGTCAACCCGTTTATTCTTAAGCACAGAGACAAAGATGTTAAAGTGCATGCTGCATGCTGTATGGCTGATATTTTAAGAATATTTGCTCCTGAAGCTCCCTACAATGAAGAACAGTTAAAGGTAATTACAGTTATGAGCAGTGGTACTGCTTAGATTCTGTAGTGGCAGTGAGGGGTGCATGACTTAGTGGTCAGCATCCCACACTTGTTGTCAAGGGGACACTGGTTTAAGCTCCACTCTAGTTACTACCTGGAGTCTTGAGAGTTGATTTCCTTGAACACCCTTGCTTTTCCTCCTACACAGCACCAGTTGCAACTTTTAATTTCTTGTCCTCCTGCTGGTGAGTTCCTGATACTCAGCCCACTTGCCTTTGAGCTGTAATTAAGAAATGGTGAACGTGCAACAAGAGTTACGGATGCATGCATTGCTAAGCATGAAAGGAGCATAACAGTTGCTCGAAATGTGACAAGAGATACTCTGGCTTCTTGAGTTATATGCGAGTTTGCCATTATATGTAAGTCAAATTTGTTTTAGTAGGCTCAACCTTGGTCCAAGGAAAAAAAAACTTTTTTAAATTCCAGTGTGATCATGGCTATCTCATCTTGAAAGAAAGCCAGTTTGTATATGTTAGCACTAAAAGTTATAATGTCTTTAACATTTTCATACTCTTTATTTTACATGTATTACATGTATATCCTGAATTCACAAAATAAAAATGATGAATTTGTAAATAATTCTCAGCAGTCAAATTTTACAAAACAGGCACAGATGTTGCTGCTATTTTCTGGAAAGACATGTCAGTCCTTAGACTTTTTAGATGGTTTTATATCAGTTGATTAGCAGTGAATTTAGCTTTTATTAGCCCAATTTTTTCTCCCAACCCTCTACCTCCCGTGAATATTACTCCCACTTATCTTTTTACATGTATGTTTGATTTTACATTCAGGCAGTATTTACGATGATTATCAACCAGTTGAAAGGTCTCGAGAATACGAAATCAAACCTGTCTAAGAAGTATTTTTATCTTTTAGAGGTAGGTAGAGGTTTTGCTTAGTGTGATAAATTTGCCTGGCAGGCTAGGAATTAAAACAAGAGTTCAAAAAGAAAAGAAGGCACTTTATACCTTGGGCAGACATGCGTAACAGAATTTGGTTTTTTTAGAGGGATGGTTGGTTTTCAAAGGATTGACTTGCTTTTTAGCACTCAAACCAGGAATTGTTGGAGGGAAGAGCCCTTTTTCTGTTTTTGTTTTTCCTTTTTGCATAAATTTTTAAAGAGTATCAAAAGATAGTTTGTCATTTTGAACAAACTGTTTCAACTAATTTTGAAACAATTCACATTTTTTTAGTGTCCGCAAGTTTATCACTGTAAGCTACAAATAATGTAGTTAAAACAAGGTAATTAAAACAACTGCAGTGCTCTAAAGGGCTGTTTTTTTCATTTCTTTTCAGAATTTAGCATTAGTTAAATCATTTAATATTTGCCTGGAGCTGGATTTCCAAGATATTATATTAAAGTTATTTAAACTGCTCTTCCAAGTCGTGAAGTAAGTTGAATTTTACTGTATTAAGTGAAATTTAAGTGTACCATGTAAATGGTATTCTCTGGTAATAAAAAGCTATCGTAACCAGCTTTCATAAGATGTGTTAGACAGTGCTAACCTAATATGGGATAAAATGATAATATCAACATAGGTTATGGAATTGAGTAGAATGACAGAATATACAAAAATCATACCTCGTTATCAACTCTAAAACTCTGTCTCCTTGTTCTCAATTTTAGTGAAAATCATACTAATAAAATTCAGAATTTCATGCTTGATGTAATGTGTCCCATCATACAAGAAGGAGAATCTGCATCTCAGGAACTTCTGGACACAATTCTGATCAACATTATTGAGCCGCAGAAGGTACCTACTTACTAAGCTATTAACTTGAAATGCATAACTATAAAGATGATGTGGGTAAATGTAATTTAAGCAAAGTTAACCTTGAAATCAATAATTATCATAGCTAGTGATTTCCCTTCTTCCTGTTGCATGGGGTGGCTTTTGGTCCTTAGCAGGGATACCTTGTGACCCTTGTGAGATCATCGGTGACTATCAAAATAAAAGTTCATTTTGTACAGTGTAAACAACTGCATCATTAAAATGGAGGTTGGGTGCCTGGAGTATCCAGGGGCTTCCACTGTTGGCAGCCGGCCTCTAGAATCCTAGATTGAAACAATGCCCTCATGACTGGTGCAACAGCGCAACCCACAGCCATGAGCACCCACACAAAAGGAAAAGAACAGGCACCTGACACACTGGAGAACACCAGTGGAGAAAAAAGGAACACCAACAACAACAAAGCCTTGGGAGAGGAGGGGGGAAAGAAAATGGCAGAAAGAACCTCATGGGCTAAAAAAACCTAGCACAACAAAAAACTGAATGCGCCAATGAATCACATGATTGATGTAGCGAGCTACTGGGCATGCACATGCCAAAAGACCACTGATCTCAGGCGCTAAAAGGCGCTCTTAGTTGTTAACTCCTATAAAATGTATTTAAATACGTTAATGAACAATCACTTCATTTAGTGATATGAAAGCAGATCTCTTCACCCAGTTGTATAAATGGGTACCAGCAATATACTGTTTGGGGGTAACCTTGCGTTGGACTTGCATCCCGTCCCAGGGGGGAGTAGCAATACTCCTAGGCATGCTTCATGCTAAGGAAACCGGAATAAGCTCCGTCCATTTGGGCCTTTTGCTCGTGTGCACCTTTACCTTTTTTTTCTGTACAAATCATGTATTTAGAGGCCGTTGTAGGGAAATTTAAAAAGTGATTGTACGGATAAAGAAGTGGCCTGTTGTGGGGAGGTGGCTGTTTTGTTTCAGGGCTTTATGGAGTATTTTTTTATCATTCAAGAATTTTTTATAAGATCATCCTAATAGCATCATTTTGTTGTTTGTTTTCTCCAGAGTGAAAATCCTGTAGCCTATAAGCTGGCAGGTGAATTCATCAGAAGGACTGCGACATCTTTAGAGCCTTATTTACAAATGGTAATCAAAGAAAATTGAGGCTTCAGACTAGAAAGGAAGTCAGTTTTACAGTTTGCCATTCACGCAAGTCACAGCTCGCATGTACTAGCCCAAGAGTCTTTTTCATTAGCCCCCATTTTTTTTTTTGATGAGCAGGATTGATTACAGCTCTTCGGTAATGTGAATTTCCTAAAAAATCCATTTGCCATCAGGCAAGTTAAGAACATAATTCACTAGCCCAATAGCAAAATCCACTAAGTCCCGGGATATATTCTAACAGACATGACTTTCTTTGCGTGCTGGGCTAAATTTTTGTATGGTTTGTGTGGGCATATGAAATTAAAGAGTAGATGAACAAATTGTGTGTTCTTTTAGTTTTTTAACAGTACTCTTGCCTTGGGGAAGACATCAGACAGCAACCTAGCAGAGAACATTTATGATCTTATACTGGAATTGAACAGAGTTTGTCCTAGTACTCTCTTGTCAGTTGTTCCACAGCTGGAGTTTAAATTAAAGGTGATTTTTTGGCATTTTTTCATCTCTCAGAACTCTAACTGTTTTGGTTGCTATGGGCCAGCCTGCACTAGCAGACAATGGAATTGTCTTTGAAACATCTAAACCAAAAATTGTATGGTGACGATTTTACTCTTTTTTAAATTTATCTGTACTGGAAACTATTAACAGGCCATCGCGTCTGTCATTACTTAATGGAAAGAATAATGGCTTTACAGCAAATGATTGACAAAAAAATACACATTTTCATTTGCTTAATTGATTTTGTCCAGTTTTTACCCAGGACAAACAAATTTTGTCCACGGCACCTTTGAAGATTATCCCATCTCGTACAAAATTTGTAAAATTGCAACAAATTAAACCATACGCATTTGTTAAGCATTGGTGATGACAGACAGTTTGTCTAAATAAGCACTTTTTTCGCTAGAGCAGATAAGCCCTATGACAGGTATAAAGGTTTCTAACCTCTCTTTCTTTTTTTTAGAGTGAGGATGTAGATGACCGATTAAAAGTGGTCAGCTTGTTAGGTCAGATGTTTTCTGAACATGATTCGGAACTTGCTGTTCAGAACAAGGCTCTCTGGGGTTCTTATTTAGGAAGGTAAGCAATTTATTATTTTATTACTACTAACAGAGTATGTTGTGTTCAATACCGTAAAAACTCGTGTATAAGCCGCACTCGTGTATAAGCCGCACCCCCAACTTTCAAGCATGACTTTGAAAAAAAAAAAAACCAAAAATGCGCTTTTGTAAAAAAGGTGATCGTTTGTTCGCGCATCAAAATGTTCACAAATAAACTTGAGGAAATTTAATGTTGTGTATTTGCAGTGACATTTTAAATAAGTTAATCAACTCTGAAAATACCTTTTAAAAGGTTCTCTTTAATCAATTTCCCCATTTCCTGCGAAAGACAACAGTTCTCTTCATTGCTAAAGCCCACAGTTGAAATGAAAATGGAACGATGGAACGAAAATAAAGCGCTGGAGAATGCTACAAAACGATTGCTTAGTAACCACGCGTTTATTTGACGAGGGAAGTCTGGACACCAGAGAAGGACACAAGTAAACAAATGCTGGAAACCATCGATTGGAGAAAAGCTTGTTGCTAAACGAGAGTTTAACAACCCAATGGACAAACGCCGTGAAAGTAGTGAAGGACGACCAAACGGTCGGCCATTTGCCTCGCGAATTTTCTCGAATAGCGTGGTATTTTCTTGCACGTAGTGGGGAAATCAGCGTTGAAGTGATCGGTCGCAGACGACACTAAGCAGCTGTGCGGAGGAATGGAGATTCCGTGCCAGTTAGAGTTTAACTGCTCAAACAAAGCGCAGATGAAACGCTTAAAAGAACTACTGGCGAGCAAGATTCAGGTATAGAACCTGCAGATGCAAACAAACGGCTCCTTTAGGAGCCACCACTTCTACCGAAAGCAACGATCAACGACAGGTTTCAATATGTTTACTGAAGGTTTTCAGTTCAATTTGTGACCCCTACAAGCCAGTTTACTCCCTTTGAGAGCAATGGTCTCGTGTATAAGCCGCACCCGCGATTTTTGACTCAAAATTTCGGCAAAAAGGTGCGGCTTATACACGAGTTTTTACGGTATTTAACTTTATCATTTGATGCAAAGGAGAACCCACTAAGTGACCTGCAAATAACTGCCTACAAATAATGGTCTGCTCATGCGCAATGTCATCCAACTGTGTTTGGCTGCAAATAACATTGTGCTCATGCGTAAAGGAAACCATTCTTTTCTCCTTCTTGGGCTCATTCTTGCGTGAAAATGGCAGATCGCTTCACTTCCGGGAGTTGTTCAGTAAAAAATAAATTAAGTGATTGACTGATAAAACAGTTATTGAACTCGATTATCACAAAATATTTTAATTTGTCAGTGTCTCACATGTCAGTAAATCCTCAGCCTTTGCCTTCAGCAGATTGATCCAGTGGCCAGAGACAAATCATGATATTTTTCCTCAACCTCCTCTCATGATTGTTACGTGGTTCAACCTGTTTAACTGAGTTAACTCGGAGCACTAAGCTTCTCCTTCCATTGGAAGCAAACAAGATATGTGTATCTATTGCAGCTGATATTTGTCATCAGGTTAAACCGGAATTTCCTTTGTCTCCCATGGATGATAATTGCATGTATTCCATAATAGATTATTACCGCTAGGAAACAAAGGTCTGGAAATTTTTGGTAAAACATGAGAATGTAATTTACCAAAAATACATCCACCAGAACTCCATGTGCTCTTGGATTTGATCAACTGTGTTTGCTGTTGATATAGTAAACTTTGCCCGCTGTTCTGTTTTTTTTTTTGTTTTTTTTTGAGATGGTGGCCAATGCAAAAGCAGATACCTGTGCACTGTTACTTAGAATGTTCACCTTTGAGTTTCTAACACAGTTGTTTCTTGATAGGTTTGTGGATATTAGTGTAGATGTTCGTGTTGAATGTGTGAAGAGAGCCAAAGAATTTCTCAAGCATCACCCCGACCTGGTGACAGATGTTACGGGTGATTTTTTTGGTTGATTTGTTACTTGCTAAATACAACTATGTACAATACAATGAAACTACATTAACCAGGGCTTTTAAACAAACTAAACAATAAATTACAGATTACAGAAAGTGAATTCCAACAAAAGTTGATGGAACCAGTTAGCATCTTGCAGTATTCTTACAATGATTTTGTTACAAATAGTTAAGGTGAGTCCCGGGACTTCTTGTGAAAAATCATGAGTCCATCCATAACTAATGAGTCCCAGTTGAAAAAAAAACAAAAACAAAAACAAAAAAAACAGGAGTCCTAAATTGAAAATGCGTGGGCTTTTACATAACCAGACAGTCAATTTGAAGACAGATGCTAGAACTCTTCATCACAGTTTTAAAAAAATTAAAATATAGTCTTCTATACATTTAAAGCACAAAAAAGACTAAAATAAATATGCATCTTTAAACAATAGCCACAAAAATCTCACGAACAGGGTATTCTACCAAAAAATCTTCAAATCAGTTGATCGTTCTTTGCATCCTACGGAATGCATTCCATAAACTGTTTAGAGTCTTTGGGGATTTTTATGCATTGGGGACACAGGACATAAAAGTAACAAAATCACTGTTCTCAATGGATCATAGATGACTTTGGTTAGCTTTAACTGTATACAGTACTTCTTTAATTTGATTGGTCACCATCAGTTTGGGCCAAGTAACTATAGGTGCTGTTGAAGGCTTGATTCTTATTAAGTTTTTAATTTTAATTTTAATTTTTTTAAAAAATTTTTTGTGTGTATAGTTGCTTAATTTAGTGCTGTACTTTATTAACAGCTCATTATGTACACAGCCCTTGCTTAGTTTTCGTTTTTTTTTTTAAAGTGTGCATACATGTGTATTTCTCTATTTATTATATTATGTAAGTATTTTTTTCTGCATGGCCAGCGTGACTAGCATTTGCTATTTCAAAGTGGCTGTGCTCTCCTGTAATTTTTTCCTCTGTATGTCCCAATGGCACTAATAAAGATTGATTGATTGTTGTTGTTGTTTTGCAGATAAACTGCATGAAAGACAAAGGGACCCAGATGAGAGAGTTCGGCAAGAAGTAGTAGCAACCATTTGTGATGCAGCAGTTGAGCAGATTGAACATATTGATGATAAGGTACGGCAGGTTTTATCAGTCCAAGTGCATTGTACTGCACCTGGTTGTGTTTTGAATGTACTGGCTGGTTTGCTTCCTGCTTCCAGATGGTGGCTGGACATCTTGCCTGGCCAAAGAAATTTCAGCTTGGTCAAGTCTCGTTTCTGACTGGTCAAAATATTGGAAAAAAAGTTAACTTATCCTTTTGTAATTTTTACTTTGTGAACACAATTGTGTTTTTTTCGAAGAAACAAAATTTAAGATTTACGGGTGAGGATTTGGCTGTTTTTGTCCTGAACGAGAGTGCATGCGTGACCAGTCAACATGTCCGGTGACTGAAGTTTTTGGCCAGGCAAGTTGCAATTCTGGCCAGATATTGTCCTTTGACCGGCTGTTATTTTGAGCCCTGCATTTAATCTAAGGGATGTCATGTGATGGCTCAATAAACAAAATATGGTTCATCTGGCCTTATATTCTAATGTACTGACCTAAAACAAAACAACAACAAGAGGAAAAGAAAGAAGAATAGATGTTGCTAGAAATGCAGTCAAACGATTATAATTAGGATTTCATGTTACTTGTGCCCTTTTAACTCTTAATGTGGACACTAGATCAAAAAGCCACTTGTTCAAAAGTTCTTGAGTACCATTCAGCTGTACAGTGTACGGTGCATATTCTGGTACTAGCAGTCAGGTCCAAGATATTAAGGAGACTATACCCATGCCTTGAAAATCTTTCAAACCTTCTAAGCTTACCTTGAGTCCTGAAGTCAGTACAAAAAAAGACAAAACACAGAAGCTCAGAGTTTATAAACATGTCAGTAGCTTTGCTATAATTATGATATGCTAGGCCAACACCATATTTCTACATGCAAACCCAGAAAGGACACATATAAAAGACTGTTAGCATGCACCTTTCTTTCTGTTCATCTTTACCATTTATCAAGGAATATCAAGGGGACGTGACTGCTTATAGGGAATGTTGACATGTACACAAATGTCTGGCTCTAACTGAATGTTTCTTCACTCACTTGTGTTAGCTTTTTGACGCTGTATGTGAAAGAGCTAGAGATAAGAAGGTAAGAATAATAATATTTTTTAAATTATGAAAAGTGTATTCAGTCCACAGAGCTTGAAAAAGTCCTGTCTGGGAGTCCAGAACAAATCGATTTTCTTGCTGGACCAGTTGTCCTCTAACAAAACCATTATCTAAGACCAGCAAGGAGTGGACCTGGCAAGCGAAATGTGAGAGCTGATTGCATGTAGCTAAATGAAATTTAGGCAAAGTTGAAATGTAAACAATGCTGGTCAGCAGTTTCTTAGTTGTGTGGCTTGGGGTGGCCCCAGACATTTAGCAGGGGTACTTCGTGATTCATAAATGCAGTCTGCTTGCTTGCAGTTACTTATAAAGTCATATTTAGCTTGCCTCCTGTTGCCTTGCTAAATTTTTTCCTGTGCACTCCACCCTCCTGATATTTTCTTCTTACCTAGTTGAGTATTGGTGGGAAGTGCTCCACTGAGTGATTCAGGGTGATGGTGCCTGGTGGTGGCCATCTGCAGGGTTGCCATGGATACCTCCCTTTTCTTGCTACAGCTTTGCACGGCTCCACCAATCCTTAATGGACCAGCTCCTAAGCTCATCTGTTGATGATAAGTTTAACCAAAGGACAAGCTGGAATTTTCAAGCCCTGAGTCCTACCAGTTGCATGTAGTTTTCCTGCTGTTTATACTATTGATAAGTTGTGTATGAGTTTGTTTTAATTTTCTTTAGTACTGTGCATCTAATCTGTGTTTCTGCTGGTTTTGTTTCTTCAGTGGCATGTTAGTAGAGAAGCAATGATGTGTCTTGGAAAGTTATATAAGAAATTGACTACAGGGTCAGTATTTCACTATGCCAGTTTGTTGTGATGGATAGGAACTAACAAATCAAAAGCCACATTCTCTCCAGAAGTATCACAGGAAATAACATAATGAAGAATAATGTGACATCAATGTATTTGGGCGTAAAGGGTTGGCATTATTATTTATAGTCGCATTTGTCACATTACCCTTTTTAATCTGTTTCGGCTGTTTCGGTTGTAGAACTACTGCAAACAAAGCAGCTGCCAAGAGGTTATTATGGGTTCCAAGTAAAATACTCCACCGTTACTACCATAATACTCCAGAAAACAGGTACTGTTAAGGAAAGTATATTAATGATTATAAGGAACCTGCTGTCAGTTTTACATGAAAACAGAATGTTACTAAAAATGAGCCACATGTATATATTATTGTGTTGTAAAGCTTTTAGACTGGCATACTTGTCTGGAAAAGCTTAAGATACGAATGTGCTAGGTTTGCTTACAATCTTTCACGTTGTTGTACTTTACATTATCTAGGGTGCTCTTTTAACAACTGTATCATCATGTTTTCGTCAACTGAAGTGCAACACTACATACACATTAGACTGATCTACAATTTTGTTAACTAGATAATCTTCATTACAGAGACAATCATGTTATAACAGACACTTGTGAAATGGGATTTGTTTGGGGGCATTGGAACTTGGGTGCCTTTTATTTTGTATTGCTTTTTGTTTACTGGGCTTGAAATTGTGACTGACTGGTCTTTTACTCAACTAAAAGTTTAGTGTTGGTGACAACATTTTTTTAGAATTTCAAAGCCAGTTGCTAGTGGGCAACTTGCTTTTCGTTTCCTTTAATTTTTGGTTATGGAAGAGTTGATCTTACTGTTAAAAATGTGAAACATACTGCTCAATCCCTATGTTGCAGCTCTTCAATGACCAAAATGCTAAATAAGACAGTTAATTTTGTGTTCTTATTTATAACGTGTAGAACATTCTTACAAAGCTTTTCTATTGCTTGTCAAAGGCTCTGCGTGGAGAGAATTTTGATTGGCTGCTTAGTGCCAGTCACTCTAGAAGCTGATGAGAAAATGAAGAAATTGTTACATATTTATTGCAAGCTTGACCCTCAGGCAGCTAGGTAAGTGTACATGTTAAACAACTGATGTGCCTTTTCTTTCTTTTAGGGAGGTAACACTTCCAGAATTTTGAGGTCAGACCAGAAGTATGTCGGACCCACCAGATACCATTCACCCTCTATTCATCACCTGTTAATTAAGTCAATACTAGTAACAACCAATGGGTATGGAATGCGGGTGACAACAATCAAAGCAAAACCCTTTTGCTCCAAAGCTATGCTTTGCATAATCAGATTACGAGTGATAAAAGGTCCAAATGCGTGTGATCAAATTGCATTCTGTGCATTTCATTTATTCCAAACGAATGCTTGCTAAATACATGCGATGTATGCATAATAACAACCTGGAGATTAGGATCTCAGGCTCCTCTTGTCCCCCGCAATTAGTATTGAGAAAGATGTTAAGTCCCATTTTGGGAGTTTTGTTTCTAAGCCTAGTGGTAACATTTTGTGTGTTATGTTTGATAAATATTTTGTCACTTAACTGTTTTTGTGCAATTAAGCATATCCTAATATTTTTCTATTATTTTTATTCTTTCTCTTCCTTAGTGCTTTCCATGGAATACTCAATTGTCAGCAAAGGTGAGGAAAAGTTATTTACATCACAGTGCGCTTGCTGTCTTTTTTTTCATGTAAATAAAGCAGGGACTTCTCATGGCTGTGATGAATGTGATTCCTGGCTACTTTCACAAGAAAATAGAGGAAAAGTAGAACCAAAAGAAATCCCTCGCTGTTTGCTTCCCTGCCTACTTATAGTATTTATCTGGTAACTTGACATCTTGGTGACAGCCCTGATTAAGTCTAACATGCAAAGGTGGTTGTGATGTCCACATATTTCTCATAAGGCCTTTCCTAATTCGTTGTTTACTTTCTTTCAGAGTACGAACAGACATTGCTGATCTTATAGAGCTGTCTACAAAAGAACAGGTACAAGTTTTGAAAGTCTACTTGTTTGAATAGCTACATGTCTTCATGTTTCGCTGTGAAATACTAGATACCTCTGGGCATTTTTCCCTGTCTATTGTAAAAAACCATGTTTAATATTTACCATTAGGAATCAACACCAGTGGTGTGGACCAGGTGTGAATCCCAGAAACAGCACCATTTGCCATAAATGAGTTTAGTTTGTTGTTGGCTCTTTCTCCCAGTTCTCAAGTTTTCCCCACTCCTCAAAAACCAACATTGCTGAATTCCCATTTGATCAGGAATGGTAAAAATAAATCAATTGACGCATGTGCTACCTCTAAACCATTATTTATTGTATTTATAGTTCATTTATATCTACCAAACAGAAACCCTTTCAGCCATTGTTCAGTTCCATCCATTAATGGAAGTGGGAACTGACCTCTCCCAATTTTGTCCTTTAAATAGTAATATTCAGCTCGATGTTTGAAATGTTGCTGACTTTGATTTTTTTTTCGCTGCAGTCAGAGGACAATGAGGCTCTTATTTTCTCAAAGATAATTTCCCTTGCAAGTATGTTATCTTGCATATCATACATATCACTGCTCAGTCTTAAAAAAAGCATCTCCTCATATGTAAAATTGGCCTATGGGCCATTTACCATCCTCTCCTGTGGATACATAACGACTTTCTGTCACTCAACCTGGCACTTCACATCGCTGATGAAGTTTGAGTGATGCGGGTGAAACATTCACTTTTGTCTCAAATTTTGATCTGAGTCTTAGAATTTGCTATACTGAAATGTCATTGCCGTAGCTGGTGAAAAACCTTTTTGGTAGTACTTGTATATGCGTGTATGTTAGGCTTGGAATGGAACACAAATGGCATTATCATTCCATCCAGTAGATATTAAAATGTCCTTTCATCCTTACCAATTGCTTCAGCAATATTAGTAGTAGCCAGGCTTGTTATAATTATTTTTGGAAATTGATTCAATAGTACTTCAATAGTTTAGTTGACAGATCGGAAAAAGAGACTTAAATTAGGTAAATATTAATTAACATGATAAATTTCGCAAGAGGCTATCTAATGCAAAACCAAACAGGATCGTTTTCCATACACATGTACACAGTTTGTGATTAATTGGCTACTTCCAGGGCTGTCATTAATTTTTAGAACAGCCTTGTAACATCTCTCCAAAACTTTATAGTGTCACCTTTAGCTTCCCACCACTTGGGGCTGATTTGCGATATTATTTCCCAAGCTTCTTTGTTTGGAATGTGGGACTTTGATTTTTTGTTTCACTTGAGAAACATAACATGTACATTTTGGCAAATTATTTTGGCAGAGTAGGCTACTTTTAGCCCCTGATGTTAATTTATTTCTTTTATTTTTAGATTTTTATTCCTGCTGATCGCTAAATTATTTTACTGTAGCAATAACAATAATGCAAAGAAAAAGAGAACAAAAACTTAATGTGATATTTATGTCTCTTTTGATTGTAGGAGCTTTTCCTGATGCCTTTAAATTTCAAGAAAACCTAAAGAAACTGCGGGAAATGCTTCAGGAGCCAACTCTGAGAGAGTTGTTCAAGAAAAGCATCAATCCTGATATAGGATGTTCGACAGTTTTCAAGGCAGTGGTAAGTACTTGTCCAATGCCTTTAACTCCTATCTTAGAGACAATCACAATCTTCCTGCACATTTGCTAAGGAAGTAATTGTTCCTTTTTCAGAGTGATGTTGTTTTAAAGGTGGGATCTAAGAATCCTGTCCTAGAGACAATAAAAGCTCTTCTGGACAGAGCAGCACCTCTGCTAGTGGATGAACAGTGCATCAAGAAACTGTTCAAGCTGGTAAAGGATGCTGTGGAAGGGCTGTCTGATTATGAAGATGATGAGTATGAATGGCATGAGAGCTCTGGATCACGTCCTGTTGGGAAAAAGGGCCTGGATTTGTTATTGGTGAGTCTAAATTCCTGTAATTGAAATACTAGGGACCTGTTGTGTCTGAGTTAGATATGTCCTGGATGAAATGCTAATAAGATGCACATTGGTTATGATACCATACGATAAACATGTATGATAGGATTGACGTTTGATGCATTATGATGTAATATGCGAGGTGATGTATTATGATATTATTCAATATGTTACTGTTCATATCTGGCCAGAAGTATATCTGTGATAAAATCCTAGATAATTTACTTCCTTGAAGCCATCATGAAGTGTGCTTGTGAATAAAAGTTATCCAAAACAAAATGATTCCAGTAAATAAGAAGATTCAAGAAATTAATATGAAAATGGAAAGCAATAAGTAGTAAGTTATTGTGTATCATACGTGCCCTTTTGTAGCGAGATTTTCGTATGACCTCGAAAAGTGGTTTCGGTAAGTGTTCGTTATTTGTTTCATCAGCCGATAGATGAAAAGATCAAATTACGGCCTCTTCGCTTTCCCGCCAAAGAAAATCCTAATATGGAGAAGACATTATCATGTTGCAGTATGACGTCAAATTGATTTCAATTGATTTCTAGAAAGTTCTCGGACATGAAGTTTTTTCACCTGAGCGTTCAATAAACGTATTTCCGTTCATTTGTTGTTTCTGTTTTGTTCACGCTTTTTCATTTCAAGGTCATATGAAAATCACTTCATTAAGAATTATTGATTTTTTTGGTTAGGCACTGGCCAGTGTGTTTCCGTCTCAGTTTCAAAATGATGATATTTTTCAACAACTATTGGTTTTTTTGAAAAACAAAGATCAAGAAATAGGTAAGTCACTCAGGTCTCAAACAGCAGACTTGTGCAATCTCTCTAGGGTGTTGATGTCCCCCAAAAGATTTTCATCTGAGATTGTGTATACCTTTTCCTGCTTCTACTGGATGTTTGCAAGGAACTTTTGACATGAATCAACATATCTTCAGCAAGTTTCCCAGGCCCTTGCTAGTACAAAATATATTATTTTAATGAAATCCTTACTTTGTCACTCATTTGTTTTAAACTCAGAGGATACCCAAACCAAAATAAACCCAAAATATTACATTTTCGTAGTCGGCTCCAAACATGACTGGGATTTTGCGAGAGAATGGAGTAGGAAAAGATGGTGTTGGGTTCTTTTTATGCTCTGCTTCTCATTTTCATTCTTCTCTGTCGTTAGTCTTCAACCATATTATGATTTTTATGTCATTTATTTATAAACTGTAAACTTTCCTAAAGTGAGCCTTAATCTTCATTTCGTTTTTTGCACGCACTGTCCCACCTCGAATAGCCTTGCTAGCTGCAAGAAGTGTTTTTGTCATATTATTTTGGTTACATGTGAGGTATCTAACTTCTGCCTCTCATTTCGAACTGCTCTTCCCTACCGTACTGGAACAGGCTTTTGACAATAGCAGTGTCTGGCATAAAATGTTTTACTAGATCCCTTCCTTTTGATAGCTTGGTAAATTGGATTTAAAATTAAAATTGCTGAATTAACCAATAAACGTTATATTCTATGTTATATTTGCAGTTGATCAGGCACTTAAGATGCTTGCCTTGACCGGTGATGGCATTGAAAAAGTGAATAAATCACTAGCAAAGTAAGTTCTTTTATAAGCAGGGCTCGTACAGGATCTTGAATTCTTGTAATAGTCTTGAAATTTGCCCAGCAGTTTTCCAGACCTGGAAAAAGTCTGGAAAATAGAGACAAAGTCTGAAAAAATGGTAAAAAGTCTTGATTTTTTTTTTCAAGGCTAACAAGTGCTTAATATAATTGAAAACGTTTTCGTTTTGGTCAAATCTTATCCAATCTTAGCGTTATGTTTGCAGCGCACCATGAAAAAATCTTTGTTCCTGCAAGTTTAAGGTCTCTAATGATCGACTATTTGATAACCTTGAGTCTGGAAAAAGAAATTATTATTTGGGAAAAAGTCTGGAAAAAGTTGTTGATTTTGATCGAGAAATCTGTACAAACCCTGTATAAGTGAAGTAAAAACTGAGTCAAATGTTCTTGTTACGCATCTGTTCTGATTGTTTAAAGGCCAATAAATAATATATTTTACTGCAAGTTATTGGTAGGAATCAGCTGAGATTTCTTAATTGGAATTGGATTCACCAGATCAATTGATCATCGATTTTCTTTCGTAAAAATCTCTTTATATAAATACCATTCTTTAAATAAATACCATTTTTTTTCCACCTGTATGCAGGTCAAGGTTACATAAAATTTAGCGTTTTTTTTACCGTGGACCACTTCTAAATTAAACATGGCCACTATTCTGTCTTTTATAAAGTAACCAAAACGCACAAAATGTAAATATGTAACTGGCTGTCGCTGAACATTTTCCTTAACTGATCAATTGTTCTATTTGATGATTGGCACATCACTACTGCAGGTATGCTTATAGAAAATTTAAAATCCAAAACTGTCTCAAATGTATGAAGATTAATGTCATACTGCTTTCTGTTCTCCATTAGTTATTACCACCCAGTATTGTCAAAACTAGCGCTGAAAGGAACGCCTTGCCAAGCCAAGCACTCTCTGAGATCAATTGCAAAGATGGCTGCTTCTACCTCCCAGCCTTTTGATCGTATTTTTACAGTAAGTACTCGGATGTTGATGCATGTCTGGTAACAGTGATAAGCTATTCATCTCTGCTTTTGCTCTGACTCTTTCTCCGGATAGTTTGTGGGCGATATTGCAGGGGCACCGAACGGCAATTTTCGGGAAAATATCTGTTCGGAAGACGATTTGAGATCTAGAATTTTCGGAGCATTTGTTGTAAAATTTCTTGCTTGCCTGCCTCCCCTAGGATTTTCGAACATCTACAAAATGGTATAATTACCCATTTTTAACGGATTTTGACCCTAAAAAAGGCCACCTAGAATTTTCGGGAGCCTTTTGCTGGCTGAAATTTTCGAGAAGGTAAGTTTTTATCCCTATAATTTTCGGATCACTAGACTTTCAGCTAGGAAATCCGAACAGATGAAAAGCTTTTAGGGGATAAAAATATGCCTATATCTACCCTTTGAATACTAAAATACGTTCAATAATGCTATGTTAAGTGGTTTTGAACTATATCCTCGTTGGGTGCCCCTGATATTGGTTGACCTTTTCTTTCCCAGTAGTGACCAGAATCATAATTTGATCAAAAGTTCCAAATTTCACCTTGTAAAATACTAAAAAACAAATACAGTAGAACCTCTATACATGGGACACCCTCACGCTCAAGGAAAGTGTCCCATGAAGAGAGGTTGGTCTTGGGTTTGTCAATAAATAGCCCTTTTTTTTCTTCTATTCTGCCTCGGAATCTGCTGCAGTCATTATTTCAAGCAGCTAGACAATGTAGAAAAAATCTTGATTAACTTATCTCTGCGGTATTGTGTGTTGAAATCCCACAAGTACAGTACATCGATGTAAGTGAGATAGCTCATTGTATTGAAATCTGTGATCATTGTGATTAGAATACACTTGTGGTCACGTCTCGATAGCTAAGGTGTGCCCTAAATGAAGCTTAAATTTTGGGTTTTGGGACTCGGAAAAAGTGTCCCTTTCCCCTGAAGAGAGGTGTCCCCTCAGTGGAGGTGACAGATAGAAAGATTATGTGAACAGTTTTCCGGGGCCAAATTTTGTGCCCCTGAATAGATGTGTCCCATTGTAGAGGTTCCACTGCAGTATTTTGTGAAAGTATCGCCAAAGACTCCATTAATCTCTTTGGGAATGACAGTTGTTAAGGGTTAGAGATTAATGTTTTTTACTGGTTACTGAACGCCCGCATTTTGTTAAATGAACAGGAAATTTTTGTTCTACCAAAGATTATGCATACAGTCTTATTATGTTAGCTAAGCAGACTAAGTTTGTGTCGAAATGGTATGGCCAATTTTTTTTGTCGTAGAACCTCGTGAGCTCCTTGACCTACGATTGTCCGCTTCTGCTGACAACACTGACAGCTCTTGGAGAGATTGCGTTATTGGCACCAACGCTGTTTGAAACCCAGCGGCCGGCAATTGTACGGGATTTTATAGTCAAGGAATTGCTGATGAAAGACAGGGTAAGTTCAAAATGCCTTGTCAGTTGTGTTGTGTGAAATGTCTAAGGCTGTGGAGAGGCTCTGGTAAGGGATGAGGCGAAAAAGCGTAAGAAGATGAAGAAGAGCTAAAGGCAAGAGAGGGAGGCGCATTGCCCCTCAACTCGTTTCGGTCACCTCTCCAGGCTGGTGATGTGAAGTCTAACTGTAATCTCCCTGGTTTGTGCGTCACTAGGAGGCTAGACTACGAGTAGTCCCCCATTTTTCCTCAGGGATAGTAGAGCGAGCAAAACGCGAGTGCGCGTGAAAATCAACCCACGCGCGTGAGGAAAAATGGGGGACTACTCGTAGTCTACTAGGAGGCAACAATAAATGCTTTCCTTTTGGCGGTTAGTTTTCTAGCAATTCACCTCAAAATTGCTACACGTATAACTTTTATTGTACTACAGTTTTGTGCAACAATTTTGTTCAGCATGACAGTCTTGATTCCCTAAGTGTTAAATAAACGTTTTCTTTTAACGGCAGGGTGTGGCAGCTAACTCTGATGAAAGCGAGAGCTCTTGGTGTGATGACAGGGATGTTACCCATGAAACACAAGCCAAGGTGAGTAGAAAGCATACACCTGATAAAGTCTTACGAGAGAAAATATCCCATGATTCTTGGTAAGTCTCAGGAGTAAAAAATTTCCCACGATGCTTGATTTTCAACCCTCGTAACGAGGCGACCATGTGGTTTAAAAAAAAAAAAGGTCAACTGCAAACCACCATCAATACTTTTGAAAACAGTTCCTTAGAAAATATCCTCATGCTTGTCGAGTAGTTCAAAAGAGGGTTTTCTCAGAGGAGCGGTACTTTGCAAAGATGCGAGAAAGACCTGCTAGGGTTACCATTGGATTATCAAATTAAATAAGTTTGTAAAACGATGTTTTAGCAACCACTTTGGTAGCGGTAGCGAGACTTTGGTCATGAGGACATGCAACAAAGTAAAAAAATAGCGATAATTACTTTGTCAAGCGCCATTTTCCTGGCGTTGCCTTTGTAACAGTCCATATTTTGACGTGATGCGTGTTTTCTTACAATTAATTGTTAGATCAAAGGGATACGCCTTCTTGTCAAGTGGTTAAGAGGCCAGGATAGGAACCATAAGACATATGTACAACCTGTTCTTAGATTACTTGATAGCATGCTCGCTCACAAAGGAGATTTACAACAACAAGGATGTGTGAGGTACAGTCGTAAGGTTGATTCAAATTGTAAAATATTCTTATCTAGCAAGTCTGTGAAAGTTTATACCAAAATATTAAATGTTTGCAAGTCCATAGCGACAAACCGTTGAGTGGTGCCGGATCTCACAGTTGTAGACTGGATCAGTACAATAACAACTTGTAAAAGTGGGTTGAGTTTGATCGTCCGGGTGAACTTGTATAACATATAAAACGGCAAGCTGATCCTTACGACAAGGCAAGGGACAAGTGAACAAAAGAATAAAACAACTAAATATATTTATACACATTTGCCCAAGATTTTGGTTTGAAAGACAAACCTTCAGGGGCTAAAAGAAAAATGATGATAAAACTGAAAGTTCATTACAAATAAGGGTTTGAAAATACCAAATTAAAACAATAGGTTGTGATTGTTTCCACTGTTTATACTGCTCTTTGTCTCATGTACTAAGGTTAATATCGATTAACAGTCAAGGCGTTCGTTGGTTTTTTACGTTTTTTTTTTTTTGCATTTCCTTGTTCGGCGATTGGCTGAAAAATCTCATGCCACTTTCTTAACCTGTCAGAAGTAAAACCAGATCAAAACCAGTCGTTACTTGGTTACACATAGACTACGAGCAGTCTCTTTTTTTTTCTTGGTCCGTCGAGCAAAACGCCCGAGACACGCAAATGACCACGCGCGTGACTGAAGGCTCAAGACGGGAGAGGCAGACGGGACGGGAGAGGCTCGAAACGGGAGAGACGTTTCTCGCGTCTCGCGGCTTCGCCGCTCAACGCTCGCGGGTGCGCTCTCTCCCCTTACTAAATCTAAAGAAAAAGAGAGACTGTTCGCAGTCTAGGTTACACAAGTTTTTCAGGGCCTTCTTTAAGTTCTGATTAATTAGTTGGAATGTGCGCGTCTATTTTGATGGGCCGGGATAATTACTTTTAGGGATAGATTTTTTGTTTTCTCTTTACTACGACACCCAAACTCATCGTGCAATTATTCGTGCAGCGAAAACAAAATAAATTTCTACTGTGACGAATTGTAGGACTTATCCTTGGATGTTTTCCTTTTTGGCTAGAGCTGCTGATTGTTCACGACTTCGCCTGGCTGCAGCTTGTGGTATTATTAAGATCGCTCAAGAAGCTCACTGTATTGAATATATAACTCTTGAAATCTTCCAACAACTTTCACTCGTTATGCAGGTAATCGATTACGAGTAGTCCAGTTGCACATCTCCCATAATACAACTTGTTCCCCGCCCTCCCCCCCAAAATTTTGCATAAGCAAAGAGAGATCATAAACGTAGGTTATGCAATTTATTTTTTTTGTGGGAGGGGGGGGGGGGTGGGAGGCAAACAAGGTGTATTATGGGAGATGTGAAAATGGCGACTGAAGTTTACTTTGTACGAAACCTTTTGAACTTGTGAACACAACAAAAAATCATCGTCACCGTTGTTGGGTAGGGGGGCAAGTGTTGCTCAGCGGTGAAAGCAGTCGCCTCCCACAAATGTGGCTCCCAGAAATGTGCGCTAGAACTAAAACCTCAAAAAATCCCTGGACAGAAACTTAACCCCCCACCCCCATCCTCAAACACCAACTTTTCTGAAATCTAATTCGATGTGAAACACCCAAAACGATGTTAAAAAAGAGCCGAGAGTTTGGTGGAGAAAAACTTATGGGTCATTATTTTTGATAGTGTATATTTTACCTATGCAGGACCCTTGTTATGAAGTTCGGGACAAGTTTACCAAAAAACTGCACAAAGCGGAAGATTTACTTAAACTTCCCCTAGAGTATCTGGGGATATTTGCTCTTGCAGCACCTGAGCCTGTCAAGGAAAGAAGGAATGAGGTAAACTTAGGAGATGTTACTTGCTTGATTTAATACCGTATTTTCGAGAGTAAGCGCCCGTCACTTAATTATGATGTCGGCTTTTGGATGGGCGCTCATTGGAAGGAGTGCGCTTAGTCAAGGGGGGCTCTTATTAAGTTCTCCGGTTGGTAATCAAGCGTACCTTAGTTCCATTGTACGTTTTGCACAGGGTTATCAATATAGTGGCAATAGAAACAGGTTTTCCTTGCACCCTTACTATAAAAAAAGTGATGGGAGAAGGGAGGGGGGGGCCTGTTTGATACTCTGGCCTAAGGAGTGAGTGCTTATTCGGGGAAAAGCGCTCATTAGAGCGTGCGCGTTTATTCGAGGAAATAAGGTACTTTAATATGTTGTGAAGAGATGCGTGGCCTGCTGAGGGGCATACCAGAGGACTGCCTTTTTTCCGCTTCAACTAAGACATTCTTCGCTGGGGTGACAAAGCGAGGGAGTGTTATAAGTTTCTCTTCAAGATTTTATCGCTTTATTAGTTTACTAAATTTTAGACACGGTTCTTTAGTTTTAAAAAGTAGTTGTTTGTTCGATGCAACCGTTGCAATTGATGCAACTGTTAGACTTGTTCGTGGGTATACCCAATAAAAACAGGGCTTAATTGGCCGGGATAAGCAAAAAGCTACGGTTAGGGCCCTGAGTAGAATAATGCGTCTTCTTGTTAAAAAACGGGCCTTTTAAAACTACGACCGCGACGGCAACGGGAACGTCTAAAACGCAATAGGTTTTATGAACAAAACAAATACTCTGCTGTGCATCAGGTTTTTTGTACAGTTCTTTGCCGTCGTTGCACGTTTACGTCAAGAAATGACCAAATTTTGAGTTGACTTGAGAACGGGAACGGCAAGTTATCTCTGAACTCGACCGCGGTCTCCTATCTTTCGCAGCTCCAATCTAACTTCACTGCTTTCAAGTAACTGGGTGACGTGGAATATAGGGCGGAAAAGTTTCAAAGGACGCGAAGTCTATTTTTCGTTGTCGGATCGTAAGGTCCCTAAAGATGCATCAAGACGTCCCCGTCCACTTTAGCGTTTGCATCGTTTTCCGCCTTCCACACTAAGCTGTTTCCGTTTATATCTTGCCTAAACCCACTCTGCAGCTGCACCTTAGTCTTGTGGCTTGTTTTTGACGGAATTAAAACCGTATGTTTTTGCCCCTTAGGTTAGACAAATGATCACAAAGAACGTCAAAACAAGAAGAGATTACTTAAAGCAACATTCATCAGCCCAAGGTAAGTGAGGCTCAAGCAAAGAAGTGAAGGATGCTTGACGGCCGCACCTCTCTCAGCAAACAATTGTTAACAGTGAACTCAAGGATTAAAATTTCTTGGCAGAAAGAGGCTACCGTAATGAACCAGTAAAAAATAGTTCGAAGAATGTCTATATGACATCTTAAGAAGAATGAAGAAATCATTGATGGCGGGAGTCATCGATAAATAAATAAATAAATAAATAACGTCTTTATTAAAAAGCATCCGATAAAATTACATATCTGATGTTACAGTAAAAATATATATCGATAGAAAAAATTACAATGACTAAGATGAATAAAAAAGATTAAATTGATTAAAAATACATATGGGGTATTTACACAGCTAGATTATATTTAAAAATTAATCTATTAAAAAAGCTATCTTTGAAACGTTCAGTGTTAATGCTGGGCCTGACAACGGATATCCTTCGAAGGTTTACAATACAGTCTTTGTACCTTGGGAGCAAGCTTTTTAGTGGATGGTCATCGCGTTTGAGGTTATAAAAAAGGCGTCTGTCGCTTTTCTCCAAAAGTTCATATATGTTGTAATTGACCGACGTATAACGCCTCTTATAGCATCTTTTTAAAAACCTTTGTATAACAGTAAGTTCGGAAACACTTCCAGCATAAACTGAAAGACCGTATAATAACTTAGGGATCACAATTGAATTAAAGAGGTGGTCTATTTCATCTTGTGTATATCCCTCTTTACGTAGGCTTCTGATGACAAATAAACACTTGTTGGCTTCATGGAGCTTGGCCTTGACATGCAAGCCAAACTTACAATTACCTTGAATTGTGACGCCTAGTAAAGAAATGTTACTATATTGTTTGATATTGTGAGACATTGGGTAGACTGTTGAATTGCCTCTCTTACGCATAATTAGGTCCTTACATTTACTAGTGTTACAATGCATGTCATTTGCAACAGTCCAATCCATAAACTTGGACAACGCAATATCAGATATATCCGGGGAATCTTTAGTAATCGTGACTAAGACGGTTGAATCGTCTGCATATTTAAACAAGGATATATCTTTGTACCCATCTATCTCTAGGTCATTCAAAAATATGTTGAAAAGATATGGGCCACTGACACTTCCCTGTGTTGTTCCCTTGTTAACAATTTTCCACTGGCAATAGGTCCCTATGTATTCTGCAAATGTTCATACCCGCCTTATTTTATATAATCAAGACTATCAATTTCTCTATAGGTCGGTGTAAAATGATATCTTAAAGGATCGAAGCTTTTGCGCGTAGTATTTATTCGACGAACTTTAACTCTTTCACTATGGTATATGGTTAAGACTGTCAATCCCCATGATCGTCATCTTCCATTACTTTTTTTTCTCCTTTTATTTTTAGTATGTTCACAGTCCATTTTGCCAGAGTATGCTTTGCCCTGTGTTATTCACATGTTGGCGCATCATCCGGACTTCAGACAAGACGATCATGAAACCCTTGTGCAATTCAGAGAGTAAGGAATTTTGTTAATGGAACCCCTTCAGTTCTAAGACGGCCACCTGGAGTTGCTCCTTGCCGTTCTTCACTCATTAAATTTTACTCTTTGTGAGGCTGAAACGTCTTTAAAATGTACCCAGCGATCTCCATCTCAGGGCGCTTACCAAAATTCCGAACTACATACTCGTTTTCTTTTTGTTTGTGCTTCTTTGTTTTGCTTTATGCTGTTTGTTCGTTTACTTGATTTTTCTCTATACCTATTCAGTATTGGAACTTCACATGGTATACCCTATATTCTTAGCAAGTCTATAATTCATAAGCCCACAGCTTCTATAAGAGACATCACTGTTTATAAACATTGTTTTTGTCATTCAAATTTGTAACGAGTGGAACAAAAGAATCTTTTGTAGAAGCAATGCGCTTCTGGTTTGCAAATTAATACCAGTAGGTGACGTCAGCGTGAGTATTGCTATATGGACTTTTGCCATAGCCATTTCGAACATGTATAAAATTAAGTAATTAAATTTAATGTAATTATTGAAAATGTAGGTACCCTGAAGGTAGCATTTTTTATGTAGTTTACTGTAAAATGTATGAAATGAAAATGGAAAATGAAATGAACTAGCCAGCCCAGCGCTCATTTTTATAAATACTTTTCTCCAAAAGTTTAAGCTAAAAATCCATTGCATTGGTTTTTATAATTTATTTGTTTGTTTTGCAAACTGTTCCAGCTACCTGTGGTTCTTCATGGAACCGATTTTAGCCAAAGCAGATAATTACAGCTTCCTAAAGAAGTTAGTAGAAAACGTCAAGCAAACAAAAGACGCCCAGGCTCCCGATGACCAGGAAGTGAACAAGGTAGATATAAGCCCACCCTCCCCTCCCTCCACCTAACCCAGCCCGCTTACTTTACGTCAAAATGGAAATCCTGTCCCAAAGGGGTGATTCAGTTCAATTTTATTCTTAGTTCAAGCGTTATTTCTCTTTGTTTCGAACTCCGTATCACCCATTTCAACAACCTCGTCTCCAAAGCCAGGGAAAAGCGCGCTTTGCTGTTTCAAAACTTAAAAACCAAACTAAAATTAAGATAGAAGCAATTACAACATTGAAAAATCACATGCACATCCAAAGGTCAAGCTGTTATTAAAATAAAAGGCGAAACGCTCTAAGGCCAAAAGACAATACTCTTACTTCAAAAAAGCAATTAAATTACTGATAGTTTTATTATTTTCCTTTATAGAACCTTTACACTGTCTGTGATCTGGCGCTCGGACTCATATTAAACAAGGTAAATGTCTTTGTTATAAGTGTCATACAATGAAAGCTTATCCCCTGTATCTAGCTTAAGAGCTTCCGTGTTAAAACTCATTTGTGGTTGTTGTCGTTATTATCCCTGTATTAAATCTGTATTGATCATGAAAACAGACGCAACTTTACGCAGGGAGAGGCTCATTTTACCATATAAAGTTGATTCATGATCACGCAGTAGCTATTGCGTTGAAAAGGAGGAGAGGCACTGCCTTAATGTGTTTAGTGACCTGCTCAGCAGAGTCTGAAGTATATACCCTCATTCAACACCTAGATCAAAAGTGGTGGCTGGTTGCTCAGGTGATGACGTGCTCGCGCACGTAAGGTCCTCCAGATGTGATTGGCTTAAATTCCCGCAAATTTTGATTGGCTAGAGTAATTGCTCTGGCCAGTTTAGCCAATCAATTAATCTACGACAATCCGTTATGAGTTCTAGTCAGTTATGGTTTCCTGGTAATACAGATAGTAAGGAAAAATAAGGTTTACACTCGAATCCGAAGGTCTTGCTAATAAACCCCTCTTTTTCTGCAAAACACCATTGATTGATTTTCCCTTTGTTTCTCCTAGGTCCACTCATTCGTACTGAAAGATTTTCCTGGTAATGTAGTTTTACCAAAAAAATTCTTTGTCCCGTCCGACAAGGTAAGAGTTTTTGTGAAATCTAGACTTGGCCACGTTCGTGACACCACTTTTTAATCGTTTTTTTTTTAAATGTAGCTATCACGGTTCTCGCGTTTTACGCGCGCCTCTTAACCTACTTTGATGATAACTGAAATAAGAAACTGTCCACAGTCTTTAAAACAAAATAATTATCAATTCTATGTTGCAGATGGGTACTCCCAACACTAAAAGTTATCTTCCAAAAGGGTTCGTTTTTGTGGCTTCCAAGGTAAGTTCCAATACAATGTGAGACTAAGTGCTGTTTAATACACGAATAGTCTAGCCCCTCAGTAGGGTTCTTCGGAAGCGCGGGCTTCTTTTAAAGAGGGATAATGTATCTTTCGTATTTAGTCCTTAACACTTTTGTTCGAAAATAAAATAAAATAAAGTAAAAAACATGATATAACATAAGCAAAGGTGGGTAGATAAAGGTACTGTCCTCGAGGATAAAATCTGGAAGTTTACGCAACCACTACGACAGCATTGAAAACGTATTCTTGTTCTTTCAAACTTTACTCCAATTATTCCGTCTGGTTTAACTTGTCAGGTGTGAGCGAATTTCCTTGAAATGAATTTTAAGAGACCGCATTCAAGTAAAAAATAATAGAGCAAGTTATCAACTTTGCCATTAAGACATTTGTGGTCGTAGTCGCAGAAAGTAGACGTTCATTGAAGTTCTTTTTTTTCTGTTATCATGAACTTGTTTAGGGTCAGAAGAAAGGTGGAGTGGCTGAATCAAAATCAGCGTCTGGGAGGACAACATCAAAATCATCGGCCAAACGTAACAAGAAACCACTAGCAAAGTCTCAAAACAGGTATGGAGGAATTGGTGTATACGATGTGTTGTGTTAAAGCTCTAATTTATATGAAGTTAAATGAAATTTAACGCAGTTAACAGCAAGGAGCGCCATCGCATGTTGTCGGTCAGCGGTCAGTGCAGTGGCTCAAGCGCGATCAGTCTTGCTTGCATCAGCTCCATGTGCTTAGTACAAGTGCTAAGTTAACCACAAAGCACGAAGGCTCGCGATTTCTCTCAAGATGGTGTCTTAGTTAAGCTGGACATGAAAAGCTTCTGTTTTATTCTGCCCTCGTCTAACTGTCGGCAATGAGCTATGCTCTGTGACTGTTGGTTTATATCAAGTTCTCGTCGGCTTGCTATTTTGTCTGAAACAACGGGCACAACTAGGGAAAGTGCAAAACTTCAAAGGGAGTAAAGCTTGAGGTTAATTCTCCCAAGCAAACCCCCAGCCTCCCTCTTCCTCTCCCCCGCTCAATACATTAATGCTGCTGCTGCGAATCCCCTTTTCGTGTTATACGAGTTATCCTGGGCAATTCTGAACGAACTCAGTCATGGATTTTAGTCAATCAAGTGGAAGGTAATGAATAGTTGACGCGATGCTGTAAGTAACAGCTGCGTTCTTCGCGGGTCCAATGTGAGCTCGCTTCGTGTGTTTGCCAATTTACTCGTAGGAGTTCCAAGACGCCTAAGAATTCTTTCAAGGAGAAGGTGAAAGAGCTGCAGGCTGAGATAGAGGAAGAAGAATCCGAAGAAACTCCTGAGAGTGGCTTTGGTAGCCCTGCAGAAAAAGAGCAGTCATCTCCGAGGTAATAAAGCCACCTGCATTAGAGACCTTTCGATTCAAGGACGAGAATTAGCTCAAAGTTTTGTTGCTATAATCTTTAAAAAAAAATCTGGAGAACTTCATTGTTCTGTTTTTCCCATGAAAAGGTGACAGGATTATTTATACTGGAGAAAGTTAAGCCCTCTCCCGATTGCAAAATGATAAAACTTCTAACATTTGTCATTTCATCAATACGGCGCCTTTCGCTAAAACCCATAACAGAACATGATGATGACCGCTTTCACGTTTTCTCGCCATAATGACGCTGGTTTAAGAGCACGTACTTCTTACTAAGTTAGTATTGAGAATGGATTAGGGAGCTTAATTAAACAACAACTGCAACGGAAGCGAAACGTCACCCAAAAAGTGAGTTTTCGCTGTTTGACATTTCATCGCACTTATTCCAACTCTGTTAATTTGTCAAATGGTTGCGACGTTTCCATTAGTTGAACTCTGAAGGACTGTATCTAAGTTCACAAAAAGAAAAAACATCGTTGTCCTATGTTTATGTCCTCCACAGAACGTGAAACTAGGACTTTTCACTTCGCAGTCGTTCAGTGACAGCAAAGAAATGTACAAAAATGCGTGATGCAGGTGCAAAGTTTTTGTTTTGCCAATCTAGACCTAGCCGTCGCTCGTTCGTATGGTCGTCCTGGTTTTAGAATCTAAAGGTCTCATATTTTGTCTTCATGACTTACAGTCAAACCAGGTCAAGCGTTCCCGTCGCTAACGAACTAATGAATTCATTCACGGAAAAATGATTTCGTTTGTTGATTCAATAATCCATTCATAAAATGAACAATCCAATAGTCATATTTAGCCTCGATTCCATAATCGAATGTTGATTCGATTACTGTTTTCTGAAAAATTACACTTTCCACAAGTTGACCTCAGAATTTTGTTTTTTCCTCTTTTTTTTCTGAGTCGAGTGCTGGCGTGTTCTGAAGTTCAAACCCAAACAAACTGTTACATGTACGCCAGTTTGCTGCCAATAATCAGTGCAACAGACCTAGGCCTGACCTCTTAGAAAACACGACGGTCAAACTGAGGTCAGTGTATGTGCGGTGATTGGTGGATTTCGATCCTCGGCCTTTGTCAGTTTCTTTGCGTTTGCGGCCTGTCTATTCTAGCTGTTATTTTGATTAAAGGCAATGAAAAACGCAATCGTAAACGGCAGGAAAAGGGAACCAAATACGATTGAACACAACAGACAAGAATAAAGAACAGGTAGATTTTGTTCATAAACCAAATCAACATTTGATTGTTGAATCGAGGTACAATTTGACCGTTGGATTATTCATGTTATGAATGGATTATTGAATCAACAAACGAAATCATTTTTCCATTAATGAATTCATTAGTTTGTTAGCGACGGGAACGCTTGACCTGGTTTGACTGTAAAGTCCGTCTGTCTTAGAGAAAATCGGTGATATAACTACAAAATGGAAGGGGCCGAATCTAGGTCTGTCCTCGTTAGGGACCTATTTTGAACAGAGATAGACTGTGAAAGTAAAGGTGATGTTACACGAGACGATTCGCAACGACGACTTTTAGAGCAACGCAGCGTTGCAACGTTGTAGTGATATTGTTTCGAATTGTTCCAACATTGCAACCCTGTGTTGCACTAAAAATCGTCGTTGCCAATCGTCCCGTGTAAAATCACCTTAAAGAAGTTCCTCACAGCCATAAAGTCGCAACTTATGCTGCCGCGAAAAGAAAGCCTAAAGAAGTTCAAGCCGGATTCGAACCCTGACCTCTGTGATACCGGCGCTGTGCGCCAAAAACCCTCACTTTCAAAATGAGGCTAGGTACACAACCTTTCTTGTGAAAATGAGTTTTATTTGCATGAGAATGAAAAATGATTTCCACATCAAAGGCTGAGCATCTACCCTCGTTTTGAAACAGAGGCCCGGGGGAACTCGGAAATGGCCTACTGAGCTAGCAAGCCAACTTGGAACTGGTCATTAGATTGGTTCGTAACGTACCCGCGTTGGATGAAGATGAAATGATGAGTACAACATGCATGCGGCATGAATTTCATATATTTGAACCGCGGAATGAAGATTAAAGAAGGTCGTCGTAGTTTAAGTGGCAACTCAGATTAGACTATGTACAACGTAGTTTTTATCGATGTGTCGGTAATCAACCTCAAAACTCAGTGGAATCTTTAGTTTGGAACAGTTCCTGTTAGGGAACACAAACCTTTCTCCTGCAAATACCTTCATCATTTTAATCTCTCTCTGGAACTGTGCCTACTGCTTCCGTCGGCTCGCCCTCAATTTTTAATCGTTCTTCATCTATGTGCAAATGCCTTAAAACAGTTTGTAACCGTGTAGTTTCAGTTCCTGTGATTTGTATCCAGGTTTTGTCGCAAATGAAGTATAACTTGCCCGGCGTTATTTATTTTCCTTTGTGATCTTCTCACAGGAAAAGAGGAAGACCTTCCGACTCATCTGAAAGAACTCCAAACAAAGGCAAAAAAGCGTCCTCGGAAGAGTCATCAAAGAACTTATCGTCACCGCCTTCTGCGAAAACACCACTCAAAGAAAGTAAAAGATCACAAAACAAAAAGGATTCGTCCCGTTTAAAAAGTCCGCAAAGACGCTCGCCTTTCGTCAAAGCAGACAAACTGTCTTCGCCTAGCAAATCGTCCGCTAGGTAAGTGTCTTACAGCTTTAATTGAACACCTTTCTCCACTCAAGAACAATGTGGCAGGCCTCCTTCTCTTCAAGGGAGACATTATACTCAGAGTATTTGAGTTGGTCGTGGACAAGTTTTAGCCAACGTGTTCAGTGGAAAGAGAATTGAGTGGGAAAACAGCGAGTACGAGGTGTTAGGGGATAAGCAGAGCGATGATAAGTGAATAATCTTCAAAAAAAAAAAAAGTCCCGTTTCGCTCTCCCTTCCGCGCCATTCACATATCTGAGCGCTTAGAAAAGGGTGGATAAGTTGGTTTCAAAAATCTTCATAACACTCAACGTAGGATTCAGAAAAAGGCTTTTCATGTGCAAAGTCTCATCTGACGACGGGTGAGTTCTGAAAGATTTCAAAAAAGAGGCGTTATCTCTCAGAGATTTGACGAGTTATTCTTTAGTAATCACTTTCTTGGCCGGTTAAAAACCTGAAAGGAAATTGTAATCACCGTTTATTGTTGGCCGTATAGAAAAAAATTGAACAAAAAGCTCTTTAGTATATTGTTAATAACTAATATTCTTTCCCAACGTTAGGAGTCCCCGTAAAGGGCGAGCCACGAAACGACTGGAGTCAGAATTAGATACTTTACCAGAAGATGAACCCACACCAGACAGTGGCACATCCAGTCTGGACTCACCCAAGAAACCTCTGAGTTCAAGGTAAAACACGGAACTCTGATTTTTGTTTTTAACATCACTACACCATACTTATATTAGACTTTACTTCAATCAATGCGCAGACAAATATCGCTGCAGGGAAATCCTAAAGCTAGAGGAGGAAAGCAAGTGAATGGATTGGTAAGCTTGTTTTTGCTGAGGTAGGCTTGCCGTTTAACGTGTAATTCAAACAGTCCTTTCGCGCTAATGAAGTTGCTTTTTTCGTTTTTCAGGAGGCTAAAAGTCCAAGTAAAGCAAAAAGAAAGGTATTTTTGTTTATTTTTATACTTTTTCTGCAAAGTACAAGGTTTCAAGAAAAACACTCTTTTGTACGTGTTCGTTTGGAAATATGATTTTTGGCAGTATTATTTGTAGTCGCACGTATTATAACTTGAGTGTTTGCTTCTTTGTGATTTTCTCTCAGAGAGCCTTGTAATCACCGGTGACGGTAAAAGAAAAACATGAGTTAGGCCCCGTCCACACGTATCCGGAGATTTTTGTATCCGCAAATTTTTTTATGCGGATACACAGCGTATACAGAAATTTCCACTCTGGAGAGCGTATACAGAAATCTCCGGATACACCGAGCGTATACGGCGGACACGTGTGGACGCTAGGTGTATCCGCATAAAAAAATTTGCGGATACAAAAATCTCCGGATACGTGTGGACGGGGCCTTAATCGCCAGCATATTGCTTGTTATAGTAATTAACCATTAACCATTGACTAATTAACCATTGTCTTAGTGGTTTGATTCATATGCTGTAATGCAGGCGTAAATTTCGGTGTTTTGGGGGTGGGCGAATGTAGAAGGAAAAACGGTCCGTTCTTTCTCAAACTGATCGTTTTTTGTTAATGTATTACAGCAAGAGGATGCAGAGTTAACGCCAAGTCCAGCGAAAAAGACCAAAGTATCAGGGTCATCGCCTGTGAAGCGAAAAGAGGCGGCCATAGTTGTACGTATTTTTCCTGTCATTTAATGAATTATTTTTCCTTGACGTTGATGAACAGATACTCACTAATACAGATATCCATTTATCTCAGGTGAAAAGAAAGAAACGAAGCAAGCCTAGATGAAAACACAATTTCGCTTCGTTATTGGACAGCCTGTCATTGTGTGTTCTTCTGAAGAAACTGAACCTAAGATAGACGTCTTTTACTGTGCACGGTTTTAATCTCTCCTCTGAAAGATCCATTGCTGTTCAGGTCAAACCATCCAACAATTCATGACGTATTTATTTTCGTTGATGCCAGGGACGTGTTCATAGTGATAGTGGTTCAGTTGCGCAAAACGACGTATCCAAGTCTAAGTGATGTAAGAGCTCGTAGCCCACAGTGTTCTGGACTTATTTGGTTCAGTTGACGGACGGTTCGTTTGAAATTCCGATATATTCTGGTTTATCGACCATTAAACGAAGTAATTGTTAAAACTTACTAAGTTTACGCTTTTAGAGTTTTAGAAGTAGCTAAAGGCTTTAGTGTAACGTTATGACGGATAACGAACCAACCGCAAGATAGCCTTTTGTACAGATGCACGGTAGTTTTATTTGGGAATGGCCAAAGTACACAAAACAGTTTTAATCGCTATACCGGATAACGAACCAACCGCAAGATAGCCTTTTGTACAAATGTACGGTAGTTTTATTTAGGAATGGCCAAAGTACATAAAAAAACGGTTTTAATCGCTGTACCGAGTGAAAGTAGCCTCTTAATGGTGCAATATTTCGTTACAGCAAGGAGGCCAAAAGTGTGACCTCCTTTAATTAACTCACATTCTTTCATGCAGACATTAACCAATCAGAAGTCGAGGACAGTTTCCAGCCGGCTTCTAATTGGATTAAATCTTTACGAAAGAATGTGAATAGATCAAAAGCGTCACACGTTTGGGCTCCTTGCTGTAAATGGAAGTTTCTGTAAAAATGTTTATACAGTTTCGCCAGTTTTGTAGTATTAATTACTTTTAGCTTTCGTTGTCTTTGGAATGTTATGCGAAATGTGATCGCCCCGTAAGGGGTGAGGATGAGAGGTCGGGATATGCAAGTCCATTACTTCTGAGTTATTTTCCTAAAAGCCCTGTTGCGACGGCTCAACGTGGCGGGCGTTCGAGCGTTGGAGTTGAGGCGAGAGGTCTAAAAGTAACTGTATAGGTCGATACTAAACGCTTACCTTCTCAAGACAAATGTATACTATTTTAAACGCTAGTACTCTACCCGTAAGTGATATCAAAACTTTTACTTATAGCAAACTCTCTGTTTAAGAGTTCGAGAGTCCAAAAGTTGCCTGTAGGCTAAGCTAAGATTTTGCCCCTGCACATTGTCTGTCCTGTAAGCTCTCCTTTGAAATTCCAAACAAACACGCTGGCAGTGATTTCTTATAATGAATCCAACGCAGATTTAACTTAAACTTCTTATAACTTATAGTTTTGATTTACATTTGGAAATATTATTCCTATTCATACGACTGTTTAGCAGTACTGACTTTAATGAAGCACTTCTCCATTTCAAAGGGATTTTAATAAAGGATAACGATGATACTTAAGAGTGTCATATTTATTATTAGGTCTATTTTATAGCTAATAGTATCGCTCCCAAGAAACGCTCGTTACTCAAGCTAGAGCTTAACAAGGCTGTGAAGTTTTTCAGGGTAAGGCAAAATCTAATTTCTCGCGAAGCGAGTGGCCGAAGGTCGCGAGCGAAGCGAGTTTATAATCTTGTCGCGCGCTTCGTGCATCACGTGAACCGCGCGTGGCCTTAGCCAGATACAAAATGCGATGCGCCATAAATAAATAAATCTTTCTTTCTCTGAATATGTGCTTGGTGTCCGCCAATGACGTCATGTAGTGCAACGTCACGGAGCATTTTGCGTGTCCAGGCAACAGGGACTTTGTCGCTGATGACCAGCGCATGTATAGTCATAAAAGGCTGATGCGTTTATTCATCTATGAAGCAATGTTAACAATCGGTGAATCACGAGCAATTTCCCCTTCAAATGACACAGGACAACATGCACAACAAGTGGCTGAAAATCCTCGATTTTTAACCGAAACTCCTCTGGAAAACGCCGACTAAAATTCATCGCGGGCGGAGAAGACGACGACAACAAGAAGCCGCGCGCAAAGCACAGAGAACATCGCTTAGCACAGCGACGTCTACGTCATCAACACAGTGACCACAAACATGTACAGAGGCAGCGACAAAGTACTACAATTACACTGCAAATGGAGCCGATGAAGAGAGAGAACAGTACCGATTGCCGACGCTTGAAAAAGCTATCGGGAGATCAGGCAACGCTTACAGTTTACAGTAAAACAAGAACGCTCTTAGTAGCGTTGAGTCTCGCTTGCTTGGAGATGAGTTTCGTTGTCAAAGGCGCCGGTGCTGTTATGCTACTTTTTCGTTTGAAATACAAAACGAGTGCCATATGTCATAATGTAAATACTCAAAAAGTAAAAATTGCAAGGAGAGACAGGCCGCACATCTTGATATTGCTCCATTGAGGGGCTTTACCTCGTGCTTTACCTCAGTAAATGGTAAAGCCCATTGAGGAGTACTCTTTCAGGGATTTTACACTCAAAAAATTGAACGATGATTTTTATCGGTATCAGGGGCCCATGACTCTGTCACTATAAATATACATAGCTTCTTTGTACCGGACCAAGATACGGCTCGGTACAGTACATATTCAGCACAGAAATAATGTGTAAGTTTAACAGAACCTTATACAACACACAGTTAATTCAGTTCGCGCGTATTCCTGCTGAATTTGTCGTCCGTTTTATAAGATATCAATATTGCGTGAAGGTAATTACATTTTCCATAGCTGCTTAGTATCTACTTTTAATATCTCCGCACTGTCTTAGAGTACAATGTTAAGAGTTGTACACAGCATGCCTTTTAGACAGATAGATAGATAGATAAGAACTTTATTTCAGTTTAGCACGATAAAAAGATCAGCATTGCTGGTGGGGTCGTGCATACAACAATTACAAGAAAAATGAGGAGTACTGAAAGCAAATGTACAATTAAAAATTAAAAACTGTTAAGGTTTTTTCTTTTATTACAGTATCACTGGGATAAAGAGTTTCATTTTCCAGGAAAATTTCACTTTCTCGTCAAAACAATCACTGACTCAGACAGACCCGGAAGTAAGTGTTCAGTACAGCGAACGGGGTTATGTTCTGTGAAAGTTATCTACAGGCTGCGGCCCACATCACCGCTGATCCACGATTTATTTATTACTGGGCTGCCTGTGCGGCCCAGTCATAAAATGGCCTTTCGGTCGTCGGTGTCAAAAAGTGGTCTCCCGGGGGAGGGAAGACACGAGGGTCTGGTACCGAGAAATGATGTTCTCACGAATGGTTTCATATGAGTTTCTCTTGCACGGAGTCTTGCACGGATACTTTTTGTACCTTGTCTGCGCTCCCCCTGAAAAACCCACAAGGCGTTGCGAACCTGAAGAAGGCTATTTGCGTTGTTCGAAGCGATTCGACCATGGGAGTCACTCGATAATTTTTTTAGTGTTCGAGTTTAAGTCAGTTAGATGATGTTGGCGCTGGGAAACTCAGAGAAATGCTCGCGTTGCATTTAAACCGACACGCTGTTCACGGTAGGTTCACACTAAAGGACTGAAAAGATGACTGTGAGCGTCAGGTTTGGAACGCCGTGGCCGTTTCGTGAACTATCGATCGATGTAGTACATGAGCAATTAAGAAGCACAATTTATGAGCAAAGTATTTCACCAGTTGACGACACTATGGCTGAAGACTTGATAGGAAGCCGTCATAGTCAGTGAAGCGAAAAACTCAGTTGCCGATGAATGGCAGATGAAATCCTGATATGACGCACGTCCATGAGCGAGGGACGTGACAACTTTGCCATGTTAGAAGACTGGCTTTTCCTTTAAATATTTCCTTCTATTTAATGCAACACACGCCACTTTGGAGGTCTAAATTTCGGATACTCAGGATAAAGAAGACACGGACAAAAATAGGCACTCTGAGAATTTCGCACACAAGTTTAAAGCTTCTCCGGGACATCCCGTCCGGGAGCTTCACAGAGAGCGACTTGAGGAAAATAGGAGCTATTACTGACAAGGTTTAGTGGCTGAGTAGAGCATACAAGTGTAGCCCACGTCAAGGTTTCAGGCGGTTTGCTTTTGTTTGTATCTGTATCTTGCCAAGCTTTTATCATTAAATTTGTACAAGATCTTGTGATCACAATTCTGTGTTTTCGCCCATTCAGCAAGCACGCTATATTGATGTCAGCATTAGCGAGTTTCAGAAACATGGCTTTTGAAAATTTTTAGCTCTCGTGATGTTTCTTGATATTTCTTTTACCATTTTATGGAGATGTAAACTGAAGTCACCGCAAAATGGAAACTTAAAAAAGCGTATAATCCATTTATCTCGAAACATAACACACATGACTTTTACGGCCTTTATTTTCGTAAAGGTGTTTTGAATACGAACGAACACGGTCAATGTGAGGGGCAAAAACAGCATTAATATAAATGAACCATAGGATTTTAACTAATATAAGGGTCGATTATTGTGCATTGAGATGAATCGCTTGAAAAGAGAGACTTCGCTTGAAGATGTGATCAGAAGTAAACAAAGGCATAATAGTGCGTCACGTTCAGTCTTTTTAATATCCAAGGAGTCACTGTGAATAGTGTTTCCATATTGTTTAGCTGACGCAAAAACTTCGGACGAGTTATAAAGCGGCATAGTTATCTTCCATGAAGAAAAGTTAGTCTTGGGTGACACAAACAGAACTGGAGCGAATTTTTAACTCACATCGATCAGGTAAAAAATATGTTATCGATCGTTTCATCTAATTTACATTCAAGTGCGTGCTGGTGAACGCAACATGCGAGCGAGAAATCTTTATTTTTTTTTTAGGTCTCAAAATGCAAAGGATTTTATTTCTTTAAGTTATAGAAAAATACCATGAGGAAAATCTTAAAACTGAATATTTTTCATCTTGTGGAAAAAAAGTGCGTTTTCATGTAGACTGTGGACCGAAAATTAGGATCGCACTTTTCACAAACATGCGAATGCTGAAGTTCAGAACCCAACCGACGATTGCGTTTTTCGCTGCTGTCAATCATCTTAACGGACCTCTTAGGAAACAAAACTTTACTTCACGGGTTCAAAAGGTCATGGTGTGTGATTTGTGGATTTGTATGAGGGGTGATTACCGCCAAAATGAGATGTTGTATTATGCTATTCTATAATGATCTTTTAGACTCCACAATTGGTGTTATGTCCTCTCTATTTGGCATTGTAAATTCCATTCGTCTATTCTGTATTTTGTTATGTATTTACACATTCTATTATGTACTTCCACTTGGCAATATTAGATATTGTATTCTGCTATTCTAACATGACATTTTAGACTTGTGTGGTGATGTTTTGCTCTTTCTATTTGGCGGTGTAAAGTTCTGTATCCTATTGTGCAATTCTACATTCTATTATGCACTTATATATGTTACCATCCAAGACTGGGTTACTTTCAGAATTTTGGTATTCTGTTTTGCGTTCCCGTATTATGATCTGTTTCATCTTGTGAATCGGAGTTGTATTATGCCTATCCTGCATGGCACTCAATGGACAAAAATTAGACGACCGAGCAGCTGAATGGGTATCGTTCTAAGCCACGCTGCCATTTTCTGCCATCCGCTGTCAAAATGGCGGACAATGTTCATAGCGGAGCTCCCGCGCGCGCGAAGCGCGCGCGCAGCGGAGCACCATGGGTAAGAAAATTTGGTAAACTATCCATCCCAGAAAATTTGGTTATGACGTAGCGTACGCCCACCCGTACACACCCTTCATTTAAGCCGATGTCAAATGTCACAATAGATCTTGCACAACTTGACTAGCCTTTCAGTTATGTAAGCCATCCGTATGAGTACGATTAGATTGACAGCTGTCAAAATCAGACATCCGCTGACAATTATCACATGACTATGTCGCGGGCTCAGATGAAAGACCAGTCGTTTTGCCCCTACATATAAGCTGTTATAATATGTCACACTTGCCAATTCAACATAAAAACGAAACTACGCCGGGCAAGGCTGTCAGTTGGCTGACAGTCGTTTAAAGTTATATTGGGAAGCCAAATTAAGGTCAATCGACAGCTGTCAAAACAGGACGTGTGCAGACCAGTATCAGAAAACTAATAACGTGGGCTCAGGTTCGGTGAGGTACACGATCTGGCATTTTCTACTACAAGCCGGACGGATATGCCTTACTCACACTCGTAGTCTGTTAATTCGAATATTCGCCAATCTAATTAAGGTTAATTGACAGCTGTCAAACTAGAGTATACGCTGACCATCATCACCTGAGTGTATCGCGGGCTCATTTTTCTATCCATTGAGTTCACGTAGTGTTTAAAGTTTTGCGCTGATATTATATTTGATCACGTGCTCAATTCGAAGCCCCAGAGGTTAGAAAATCTATCCATCCTACAAAATTCGGCAATCACGTGACCTTACACGACCACCCGACCGTCCGCGCCACAGTCATACCAATGTTTAACCTCACACTTTCGAGCTAATTTGAGAGCCTGCAACCTGATATTGTACATCCATGTTTTGATTAATTGACAGCTGTCAAAATAGTGTTTCTGCTGACCAGTA